CGGCTGGTCTGGCTGCGAAGGCAACACTACGGGGACCAGCTAAAGGGAGGGAAACATCGACCCGGAATCGGCGATACATCTGCGATACATATCGGCGATAGGCCCCCGATTGCGATACGGCGCGTCCCTGGGCGGGCTGGGCTATCGGGCCCATGTGGGCAATTTCGAAACCCTGAACGAAAAAAACGCGTTCATCCCTTGGGGGCATTTTTTTCCTTCCGCCGCCTACCGCCGTCCTTCCGCAGGCGGAGGCGACCTCGTTTTCCTTCAGCCGACCTTCCGCCGCCTCCCGCCGCGGAAGGGGATGACAACTATTTCCGTCCTCGAAGGCGAGGCCCTTTCTGGAGTGCCCAATATGGCGATGAGTGCGCGGCGATGATGAGGATAAGAATGATGATGATGAAGATGATGATGCTGATGTTGAGTGTGATGATGCTGATGCTGATGATGACGATGGTGGTGATGATGATGAGGATTATGATGGTAATGGTGATAATGACGACGGTGATGGTGATGGTGATGGTGATGGTGATGGTGATGGTGATGGTGATGGTGATGGTGATGGTGATGGTGATGGTGATGGTGATGGTGATGGTGGTGCACTTTGCACTTTGCACAGCGCCGTCGAGGCCCCCCCTGCGCCTGAGGCGGCACGTCAAGCCATGCAGAAGCGCCTCGCGCGAGGCACGAGAAGATTGAGGTCAGTGCAGCTGGCATGCGAGCGGGCGAACGCGAGCGAACCATTCTACCTTGCTGCACTGGCCTGCATCCGCGAGCCAATCGGAACCGAGCAGTCGGGCGAGGTCCATCTCCCACTGCCAAGCCTTGAACTTGCGGCCATGCGTCTGGGATCCGTGCTCGCGCTTCATTCTCTGGAGCCAGGCCATGCTGCGCCGCTGTAGCAGATGGACAGGCGCAAGCTGGGCGGGCGTGGCGCCTGGCAGGGCGGCCTGGCGGGCTAGGTGTCCAACCCAGGTCAGCCTGGGAATATTCGCGTCTAAGTCCCATGTCGCCCATGTCCCATGATGATGCGTGGCGCCATCGGCGGCGACAGAAGCCCTTCGGCATCTCCTCCATCCATCTCTGCGCGCACAGCAGCTGGGAGAACATTCTGCGGCGCGTGACTCGAATGAGATTGAGATCCTTGACCGCGGGGCACCGCGATCCTGACCCGTGGAGCAAGACAGGTTGGATTGCTCGCTCGAGCAGCTTCGCGGCCTGCTGCCAGCGGCAGGCGCGTTCAGGTAGAGGCATGTTGAGAGCGTAAAAGGCTCTCCAGGCGCGGGCTACCCTGTGCTGCGTGTCCTTCCAAGGCCTTCCATCGAAGGTGAACTTAGCGCCGAGAGAAGGAAAACCCCCGGCACGAGGCGCGCGCGCCAGGACGCCGTCCTCGACCCTCACCTGGCAGTCGCCGAACTCGCGGTCCAGCGCCGTCGTGTCCCAGGCCAAACCCGAGGGGGGTGCGCACCAGCCGCGAGCTCGCAGGACGCGCCGCCGGGCCATCGTCATCTGGCGGAGCGACTCGGCCGCGCCCGCAGACAGCCAGAAGTGGTCGGCGTAGAGAAATCCCGCCTCGCACAGCCTCGCCTCGCCTGGGAACTCGTAGCCCCAGCCGCGCGTCCAACATTCGCCCAGGAACTCCTCCCAGGCATTCTCCAGCACGAGATTGAAGAGGATCGTGCTGGCTGGATCTCCATGTCGAATGCCGCGGGTCCGAGGTGCTGGTTGCTTCTGGATCGAGCCCATCTTGATCACCGCCGAGGCCTTCAATTCCCTCCTGATGGCAAGAATCACGGGCCTTGGCACAGCCCTTCTTCTCAGTGTCTCCTCAACCGAGCGGTGCGGGACGCGGTCGAATGCCGCCTCGATATCGCCGTCCACGATGAAGATGGGTCGGTTCCACTCCTGGGCCATCTCCGCCAGCATGCGCATGCTGAAGATCACGCCCACCGCTTGGTGGAACTTCCGATGGGCGCACTGTGGGCTCCGCAGAGTCAACTTGTTGGCGCGCTTCTTTGATCAGGCCAACCGAGTAGGGCTTCTCGAAGGCAGTCAGGAGCGCGATCGGCCTGTACCCCTTGAGCGCGCGCTTGTCTCCCGTCTTCTTCACGAGCTGGATGGCGCGCGCGACGCCCCCAGCATACTCGGGCACCCCGCGGGGGGCGGTTTTCGAAGACGGCCGCGAGCGAGGCGGGGAAGCCCGAGCCGAGGGCCTGCAGGGCCTCGGCGACCACCCCGCCCACGCCAGGTGCCTCCATGGCCTTCATGTCGCACAGAGCCTCGCGGGGCATCTCGGGCGAGAAGGGCGGGATATCGAGTGCATCCTCCGCCGCGGCGCGGGCGAGATAGGCAGAGGCCCCGGCGGGCCCCTCCCCGCCGCTGGCCCTGAAGGCGCTGCCGCATTCGCGCTCCAGGAGCTCCTTGATCCGCAGCGGGTCGCCCTCGATCCCCCCCTACCGCGCGCATCGGCTGGTTGCGGGTCGGGCCAGGCTGAGCTCGGCGAGGCGCTCGTACTCGGGGGTTGCCAGCCTCGTGGAGGCAGCGCTGCAGGGCCCTGTTCGCGGTCCAGATCCCCCCGCGGATCCCGATGACATCCCCGCTGCAGGTCGCGCGCTGAACGCGGTCGCGGGTGGCCGCCGGCGCGCTTCAAACATCCGCAGCGTCTGCGTGAGCCCGCGGTCCTCGGGGGGCCTGGGAACCCTCCTCACAGGCGGGCCCCTGCCGCGGGCAGCGGCAGCCAGGTGCACTGCGTCCGTCATGGAAGTAATCGGCGCTGGGTTGCGGTCGGCGTAGCACGCGCTGTGGCTCCAGCGCTGGAAGCGGTTGTCGAGGCAGGTCCAGCCCTTCATAGGCGCACGACCTCCGTTCCAGAGAAAGCGCCTCCTGGTGCCAAGGGTGAACTCCAGCTTGATGGCCGAGTGGTCGGATTACGCGCTGTCGGTGATCTCCTCGAGCGTGGTGCTGACCTTCCAGATGTCGCGAGCGGGCATCAAGTCATAATCGATCTGGGCTGGCGGGTGCTTGGAATCGCAGTGGCAGGTGGGCTCGCTGGCCGCCGCAGCGAACGTGCTCGCCGCCGCCAGGTCGTGCTGCATGAGAAATCTCGTCGAAATCTCGGCGCCACGCGTGAGCTGACCGACTGGGAAGTCCCCGAGCCGGCGCCCCTCGCCCGCCTGCGGGGGGGGGGGGGCAGGGCCGTCTGCGCGTCCACGCCCACGATCGGGCACGCCCCAAGCGGTGCCTCCATGATCAGGTCGGAGAGCTCCTCCGTGGAGTCTTCGTACTGACTGAGGGAGCGCCCTGGAAAAAAGGTGATTGCGGAAAGTCGTTCTGGCGGATGCGAAATAGGCGCGCCGCCGAGCGCCTCCATGGCAGCAAATCCAGAACCGACAGCGCGCCAACAGCCCAATCTGCTCTTGCCCCTCGACCCGCGGTTTGACCGGGTAGAGGTCGCCCTCGCCGACCTCCAGCCTCGTGGTCTTGCCCCAGTAGCCGACCTCCTGGAGGATGGCCACGCCGCGGTCGCGCTGATCGCGCAGCGTCGCTGCAAAGTACTCGGCGTTGTGCTTCGCAGTGCCCTGAGCGTTCCAGCTGGTGAGCTTGAAGCACATCTGCTCCTCGGACTCCCCCAGAGCCCTCTCCTTGTCCAGTCATTGGCCCGCGTCGACCTTGGCCTGGAACTCGACCAGGCTGAGGTGCACGCCCGTGTGGGCGCTAGTGTCGGCCGCGACGTGCCCCTTGAAGCTCATGAGGCTCGCGGTCCTCACCATCTCGCCGAACTTGTGCTGCTGCCACCAGAGGATGCCTCGAATGTAGTCCAGCTCGAGGTCCGCCGCATGCACGCCTAGGCAGTCGGTCATCTCCTTCTTCGTACGTGAGATCATCATTGACAGCCGAATTTCTCCCGAGGGCTTCTCCACAGAGGACCAAAAGCGACGACCCAGGTGATGTGGCTGCGGCATAGTGATATGCATCTCTTTCGTCGAACGTACCCAGGCCCACATGCGCCCCGAACTCGTGAAACGGACCTTCAGGAAACTGGCACACTTGAGGGGGACGAACACCCCATCCTCTGCTTTGTCGGGAAAGGCATCGGTGAGCGCACGAGCTTCGTTCAAGATGGTGACGCAGGGTGTGTCCCGATCCCATCCGCCAATCGTCACACAAATCTTGTCGCAAACCCTCTTCGGCCCCGACGCGACTGGCTGCGCCGACGCGCCCTCGACCCCCGAGAAACGTAGCGGATGCCCGACCGAGGAAGCCGCCGTGGATGAGGGAGCCGCCGAACGTCCCTCTCGCAAGTCCTTGATATCCTGCTCCATGTTGTTGAGGCGCCCCTCGTGTCTCTCGACGTCCCTGCGTACATTGTCGATGGACGTCTTCACGTCCGCGAAATTTTTCGCCATCGGCTCCTTGATCTCGGAGCGCAGCATTTCCCTGAAGTGCATCATCATCGTGGGTCCGTCCATGGCTGCTGGCACTGGTACTGGCTCGCGCGAGCGGCTGCGCGAGCCCATCGACAGCTAGCACTAGGAGGCAGAGTCGTGAAACAGATGGCAGCTGCGAACCCCAGTCCATGCCGTCGCTTGAGCCAAAATGGTGATGGTGATGATGATGATGGTGGTGATGATGATGATGATGATGATGATGATGATGATGAAGAAGAAGAAGAATGATGACGGCGATGATGATGACGATGACGATGGCGATGGCGATGGCGATGGCGATGACGATATCGTCATCGTCATCGTCATCATCACTGACTACCTACCAGACGACACCAACCCAACCCGAAGGCCCGAATTTCGGGTGGGGGGGGGTACGGGTTCCATAGGTGTTTTCTCGATGTTCCCCGACCCCCCCCCCCAACTGGAAATGGAGGGCAAATCTGAGCCTTCAGGTTGGGTTGGGGTGGTTTGGTGGGTGGTGACTGAGCCTATCGACCACTGTCGTTGCCCGACAATGGCGGCCGCGCGGGCGCAGCACAACACGGGGCTCTCTCACGGCGCGGCCGGCGCAGCCCCGGCCTGAGCAGACCTCCGCCGCCGCCTCCTGCGGACCCAGGAGGAGGCAGAGGGGGAGGAGGAGAAGGAGGACGACGACGACGTCGACGAGAGGAGGAGGAAGAGGAGGAGGAGGAGGACGAAGGGAGGAGGAGGAGGGAGAGGAGGAGGAAGAGGAGGAGGCGCCACCACGCGACCGCAGAGGGGACCCCGGGCGGAGAGGCGCGCGGAGGGCAGAATCGGCCAACAATCGGACCGACCACGCCAGGATGCACATCTACACGCCGTGCAAGCATCGGGCCGCACCGCATCGCTGAAAAACCAGGTCGACCGCATCGGAGAAGGCAGGAGGGCGCGGGGAGGTATGCGGCATGAAGGAGACCGGCCATGGGAACAAAAAGGGGTCCTGGATGTGGTTCGCTGGCTTCGGGCACAGCCCCAGCCGTCAGCAAGACACTCGGGAGGAAAGGCTGGCCCTGAGGAAAGCCCCGGGTCCCAAAAGCCTTGGGGCCCCTCGGGCTGCTTCCAGGGTGGCCTGGGCCTCCGAGGTACGGCACGGCACGGGAGGCTGGCCCCAGGCCAAGGGGCCGGGAGCTCTGGGGGGGCCCACGTCGCGAGAAGTCGTGACGTCGAAGGTCGAAGGCATGGGTCTTGAGACCCCCCGCCCCCAATCGTGGAAAAATGACTCATTTTTCGGCGGCCTCGTGGACGGACTGGGGCCCCCAAAATAGTGGAAAATGAATGCCGATTTTCCCGCGGCACCCGCCGCGCAACGACGACGACGACGACGACGACGACGACGACCACGATACGACTGCGGCTACGGCTACCACCACGACTACGACTGCGAGCAGTAAATGTGAGCGGCGCGGGCCGCCGTCGAAGGACCCGGCACGAGGGGCTGGCCCCAGGGCAAGGGGTCGGGAGCTGTGGGGGGCGGCGGCGCGAGAGTTCGCGGCGTCGACGGAGTGGGGCCTGCTGCTCGGAGAGGGGCACGAGGTTTGGAAGGGCATGTTCAGGTCTCGTGGTCCTGCTGTCGACGAGGAGGAGGAGGAGGAGGAGGAGGAGGAGGAGGGCAGCAGCGGATTCGGGGAAGAGAGCAGCAGCACTAGCAGCAGCAGCAGCAGCAGCAGAAGGAGGCATCGTCTTTCGGTGAAGCGCGCAGCAGGAGTTTTGGGAGAACCTGCTGCATTCTCATGGCCCTGACTTCCCTCTGATCATTGCTCCCTTCTCCGATGGCTAAGGTCGAGTGTCGAAAGCGCACTGCCTACCAAGAAACGACCACACCTATCATCCAAGATCACTCAGCCTGTCGTGCTGCTCCATGGAACCGACTCCAAGCGCACCCTCCCGAGTCAATGGACATGTGGAGGCACGGTGCCCTCCTCCTCCCCTTTAGCGCAGATGTAGCGCAGATACTTCTAGCCCCAGCGCGTTGAGACAGCCCGCCCAATTGTTGTACGCACGAAAGTTCTCTGACCTCCATCCCAGATACCCGACACCACGCTGCTTTCGTGATGGGGGCCTCCTCGGAGCTCTCGACGAACCCTCCCGTGGACATTCCTTCATCCTGGGAAGCTGCTGGACGGCCCCGAACCCGAAATGCCGCCCTGAAGATAGCGGGGGGGGAGGACAAGGGCTGCAGGCCCGTTGCGACTCTATCGGCCCGTTTCGGATTCGGCCTAATGGGCGTTTTGTTATTCGGCGTTTCGACATTGGGCGGAGGGGGGGGAGGGGGGGGTCTGGCTCCAGACCTCTGCTTAGTGTGACTGTTTGCAAGAGTGCTGCCTCTGGGGGAGGCTCCACCTGCTCGAAACAGGCGCCAAAAACAGCCAAGATTTACTCCAGGGGGGGGGAAGGGGGGGGTGCGAGGGCGCGCGCCGATCGGCAAAACAATGAATAACAAAAACGATCACCTGGTTCGGCCCCAGCCCGTTTCGGCCTCGGCCCGGCTCGGCTCGGCCCGCTCCAGCTCGTGTCGGAGCCGAAACGTGCCAGGACGAAACGGGTCGAAGCCGAAGCCGAAACAGACCGACGGAGCCGAAACGGGCCAGAGCCGAGACGGGCCGAAGCTGAAAGCGGCCTCTTCCGTGGGAGGTGCCGACCGGTAACCTAACCTGTGCGCTTTAGGCAGCCCCTCGTGTGGCCGCGCGCACCAGTACTGCGCATACCCCCTGCGGACCTCCGCTACCGAGAAGGTCTGGGGGGGAAGGGGGGGGTGGGCTGGCAGGCCCGACAACCCGGGTCATCGCCGGACCCTCCACAAAAACAGTCTCCTGGAGGCCGAAGCTGGTCGTCGTGACTTTCGCTCGTGGCGAGGGGGAGGCGTTGGGGGAGCGGTGCCGCCCAGCCGTCGGCGGCAACCCATGGGAGCCTCTCATGTCATCTTGCTGGCTCTTGTGAATCGACGCTAATCGACGCCAGTCAGCGCTAACCGACGCGAGTCGACGCGAAATCGGCGCGAATCGACGCTACATCGGCGCTTTCCCATCGACTAGCAGACGCCAACGCACGCGAATGCACTCGAGAGCCGGAATTGCGAGGGCATCTAAGGCTCCCATGATGTGCTGTCGAACCAGCCCGAGGTCCTGCGCGAGGGGCTGAACTTCCCGCTGGCGGCGCCTGCGGGTGTCCGCGAGGACGGGCGGTGGACGGGAGGGCGACGAGGGGCAGTCACAGTCTGCAGCAAGGGTGCGCGGCAACGATGGGGGGGGACCAGCTCAGGGGGGGAAACATCGGCCTGAAATCGGCGATACTTCGCCGATAACGATCGGCGATAGGCCCCCGATGGCAAATCGGCAAGGTCCTGGGCGGGGTGGGCCATCGGGCCCACATCGGCGATGAATGGGCGATGGCGGGTCGTTGCCTCCCCCGCTGAGCCGATCGCCCCCCCGAGCGTTGCCCCGGAGAGACGGGGGGAAAACAGATGCAGGACGGACCCTGGGACGCCCGCGCGGAAACAGATGCGCGCGAGCGCAATTTCACGGGGGCGGCCCCAGAAACCCTGTCCTGCGCGGGTGCCATCTCTTGGGGGCGAGTTTCTCACTCCCGCCGGCCTCCGCCAGTCTTAGGGGAACGAAGGATGAAATGAACACAGAAAACTCGAAGGTCCGCGCGGATTTCTCGGATCGGCGCCGTACCCCCTCCCTGGCGCGCGGAGCGCGCCAGGGGCGGCGCCGGAGGCGCCGCCAGGGTCCTCGAGGGCGATGCCACTCCTGGAGCGCCCCACATGTTCGACGACGGCGCCGTTCGGATGGTCCCAACGATGGTAGGTCCAAGTGGACAGTTCGGCCAGCTCCCAGGTGCATCAGGCAGCAACCTCAGGGTCCATGGCGAAGAATGGCAGGCAGTCCTGACCGAGCACTGACCCCTGCAGATCTTGACTGCACGCTGGGCCACGATGCCTGCTTCGCCCAGGTTCGACCATGCTTTCCTTCTGACAGAAAGCAGAAAGGCAAGCGACACGTCGAGGGCAGAAGGATCCGTGACGAAAGTGCCCACGGCGGGGAGAAGGGGGGGGAGGCTGGGAACCGCGGCGGAGCGGTGCCGGGCCGAAGTCCAACTTACATCGGACAAAACGCATCTCGAGACTGAGGCCTCGGATGCGCGCGACCTACCGCGCGCGTCAAGAAGACGTCGGATGGAAGATGCCCACGACGGCAAGAGACCCCAGAGTTGTCCTCGCTCGGCCACGGCACAGGAGATCGATTTTGATGTTCGATGATAAGCCAAGCTATCTGGTCGGTGGGAGGGAGGTGCCTTTCGATAAACCTGACCCCTGCGCTCCAGGCAGCCCCACGTGTGCCCGCGCGCACCAGTACTGCGTATACCCCCTTCGGACCTCCACTACCGACAAGGTCAGGTTATCCCGGGGGTGAGGGGAGGGGGGGCGGGAGGGCGGGTCAGAGAACCCGGGTGATCGCCGGGCCCTCCACAAAAACAGTCTCCTGGAGGCCGAAGCTGGTCGTCGTGACTTTCGCTCGTGGCGAGGGGGAGGCGCTGGGGGAGCGGTGCCGCCCAGCCGTCGGCGGCAACCCATGGGAGCCTGTTCTTGCCCCCCTCAACAAAAAACTTCCGAGCAGCACCCGCCGTGGCCCGGAAAATGGTGCGCGCGCCGTGCGGCGGGTCTGCGGCACGTCGTCGCAGCCTGTGGGCACCGCCGGCGGCCCTGCCGCCCCCTCGAGGCCTCCCAGATGGGGTCCGAGCAGATGGGGTCGGAAGATCGCGCCGCATCGCCGACGTATCGGCGATGCATCGCCGATGCATCGGCGATGCACTGGCGACGTCGGCGATGCATCGGCGACGTCGGCGTGGAGAGAACTGAGCCCCACCTCGAGCCGCATCGCGGATGCATCGCCGATGCATTGGCGATGCGGCACATCTACTCCGACCCTGTTTAGGAGGCCTAGACCCCCCAGACCTCCGACGACGTGGCTTTCAGGTGCGTGGCCCTTGGTGTTCCCGACCCCATCGAGGATCGAGGCTCGACGAGGAGCATCGAGGTCTGGCCTCCTCTGGGTTCGAGCCTCCTGTCTCCCCGAGCCTCTGACCTGGATCCTCGACCCCCGGGACGCGCTTTTGTTGCCAGGATCGTTCCTCGACATCCCTGTCGGCTTGGACACGGCTCCAGAGGCCAAAGCCGGGAGAATGGTCGCCCGCCCCCAAAAATCACGGCGATGGAGGTCTGGGCCCGTCGCTATGCTGCCTCGCGTCCCTGATGAGAAGTCCAGCCTCGAGCGGTCTCCCAGGGGCGAGCATTACCAGCCTGGAACATATCCCTATCCCTATGCTGGACATCGCCTCATCACAATGCCGATCTTAGGGATTCCCTCGGTTTCTAAGGGCGCATCGTTAAGATTGTCATCGCCTTTTGGCGTGTCAATCTCAGGGATCGGCGTAAGTACGGGGCTGGGGGCGAACGGGCGGCACATGGGCCACGATAGCAACGGCGTCCGCTCTGCCCGTGCCCCCTAACCCTCCAGCGAGAGACGACAAGGGGGCAGCACCACAGACCCCCCTCTCCCTGGTCGCAGGATCCACCTCCTGTGCCGCCCTGCTCGAGGGCAGAAAAATCCACCCCCGAGGAAGGGAATCGAAGGACCCGAGGAAGGAGTCGAACAAGGCAGGTCTGGTTTAGTTAAAGCCCACGGCCGTTCAGTAAACGCTCATTGTCGGAGTCTGGATGGATGTTCCTCCCTTGACTGGCACGTTGATGACTACCTGCCGACGACCCTCATTTCGGGTTGGGGGGGAGTACGGGTTCCACATGTGCTTTTTCACTTGCTTCTTCAATGCTCCCCGACCCCACCCCCACTGGAAATGGAAGGCACATTGAGACCTTCGGGTTGGGTTGGGGTGTTTTGGTGGGTGGTGACTTGAGGCATGGCAGAATGCCAAGTGCTGCCCGGCAGCCTCTATGCAAGTTTTGCTCTGAGGCCCCCCTCCTGCTCCTCCACCTCCTCTTCCTCCTCCTCCTCCTCCTCCTCCTCCTCCTCCTCCTCCTCCTCCTTTTGAGGCCTCTTAGGGGGTCCGAGTAGATGGGGTCGGAGGACCGCGCCGCATCGCCAAGACATCGACGATGCGTCGGCGATGTATCGGCGATGAATCGGCGATGCACCGGCGATGCACCGGCGATGCATCGGCGACGTCGGCGTGAGGAAAACATGGGCTCCGCATTGAGCCGCATCGCCGATGCATCGGCGATGCGGCGCGAACCTCCGGCCCCATCTACTGGGACCCCATCTATAAAATAAAAAACATAAAAAAAACTGTTGGCGCTCAGGGGGGCCCAGCGCGCATCCAAGAAATCCGCGCGAAGCGCGAGGCCTACTCAAAAATACTCACATAGTTTCCCGCCATTTGGGACCAGAGAACATTTCTTATCTGAAAGGCTCATCGTTCCGCCAGGACCTGTTCGAGGCCGACACGCGCAGACAGTATCGAAGAGTGTCGGCAGCCAAATCTTTAGGGAATAGCACAGAGAGAGAAAGAGCAGGGTGGCACGCGGGCGGGAGGCTTGAGCGACAGCAGCCCCAGAGGTGACGGCCTACCGGACGGGCTGGCATTACAAACTCGCGTGGAGCACTACAATGTATCCCCCCCTCTGGGGACCAGAGAACATTTGTTATCTGAAAGGCTGATCGTTCCGCAAGAGCGTCGGCAGCCATATCCAAAATGACAGAAAGAGCCAATACTGTCCTCTGGCCGGGCCGCAACTAAAAACGAACCAAACAACAAAGTTAATTCGCTGAAGGTGGCGACCCATACCTTGGGCCTTGAGCGACACGAGTGCATCGCAAAAGGCTCCGGCAAGGGCCCTACACAGCTTTGGGAAGTAGAACTCCGCCACTGCCGTCCAAAACTTACCTTCCGAGTTTTTACCCTGGAGGTTCAGATGAGGCCTGCGGGAGGCCGAGCACTGATTTTTCCTTCTTCTGCAGAGTTTCTCGATAGAGGTTAAAACGATCAGCGTGCCCAAGAATTTCGCGCGCTTCCTCCAGGGCGTCCCGAATTGGCAAAGATCGCTCGAGATTGCTTGAGATCGCGAATTGCGAGCGAGAGAGGACCGCCGGGGCCAGCCAGATCCTGCTGGTGGCAGGATTCCCCATGGCCCCCGAAACACGCATGCGCCAGACGACGTGCAAACAAGAAACGGTGAAGCTCATTAACACATTGTCTACGTCTACTTTGGAGTGACCCTTCTCCGGGAGCCCGCTGGGTCCCATTACGTGCTCATTAGATCTCAGAGGTGGCGGGCCAGGAGGCGCATCACGGGCACGGGGCCACGAAGCACAAGGGACCCCGAAGTGCATCCCAAGGATGGCTTTCCCAAGAATCCAACCACGTTGCATAGCTTGCTTCTCAGGGTTCGTGAGGTCATATGAGGTCATACTGGCTACCGCACAGGATGTCCCAGGCCAAAGCGCGAAAACCTTCCGCCGCCATTGATCGTCCCAGCCGGGCGGATCCAGCGAACGCCTCGAGAAAGACACGCATCCTCAGCGGCCGCCGAACGCGCGAGGCGGCAGCGAGCCGGAGAGCGCCGCGGGGAGGTGCTGCAAGCACCACCGCGCGTGGGTCCGGAGGCGCTCGGGCAGCTTGGCGAACTCGCTGCCGAGGCGGCCCCCCTTCTCGTGCCTCCTCGCGCTGGCGTCCGTCCGCCAGCGCCCTCGGCGCCTCGCGCCCGCCAGCGTGCGCCTCTGCTCGGCGAAGTCGCGACTCGCGCCCGCGTGCCGCAGGATGCACGGCGGCGGCGGCTTCTGGAGCAGCCGCCTGGAGCCTGCCAGCTTGAAGCTCCTCGCGAACTCCGCCTGGCTGAAGGCGAACAGCGGCTCCTGTGGCGCGCGGCCCTGCGCCAGCTCATCGCTAGGTCCCAGCGCTGGGAGGCCAGCAGCTCCATCGCGATGGCGAACACCACCTCGGCAGGCAGCGGCAGGCGGCTCGCGGCGGGGGCGAGGCGGCGCCAACCCTCCAGCGCCTGGCGCGCTCGAGGGAGCGGCAACTGACCTCCCTTCCCCAGCCTGGAGATGGTCCAGGCTATCGCCGCCATCAGGTCGGACCCGCGCCAGTGGTCGAGCCCCTCGAGGAACTGCTCGTTCATCCAGTCGCAGAGGTGATGGTCGAGAGCCTCCACCGCCCCAGCAGCCAAGGGGGCGAGCGGGCTGGCCCGCTCTGGCAACGCGCTCACCGCCAGCCAGGTGTCGAGCTCGTCGAGGAACTCCTGGTAGCGGCGGCGCACCGCCTCGGTGCGCGGCGGCGCACCGCCTCGGTGCGCACTGACCGCGTCTGCAGGTACAGCTCCTGCCCTGCCTCCAGCGCGCGGGGCGCTCGGCGGGCCGCCTTGAGCCTCCTCCGCGGTTCGTCCTGAGCGGGGCGCCTCGGGGCCCCGCGCGGCGTCGCGCGGCGGGCGGGCTCCAGCGGCGGCGGCCCTCGCTGCGATGCCTGGCAAGCAGCGCCTAGCGCCCCCAGCCGGCGCCCCGCCACCACCAGCGTCTCGGACCGGTGGCAGCCCAGGCTCTGGCTTCCCGTGCGGGCCAGCACCGCCGCCTCCGTAGCCAGAGTGTCCGAGACCGCGCGACGGCCCGTCGGCGCAGTTCCACTCGCTGGGGACAAAACGTCCAGTGAAGACCGCGCCCGCGGCAAGGCCACGCGCCGCCACGCTCCGCAGGGCCGCGCAGACCCACGGCGGAGGATCTCCCCCTGCACAGAGCCGGAACACAAGCGAGGGAATCCAGCGCCAGGAGGCGCCGCGACTGGAAGTTGCGCAACGACCGACAAAGGTGTTTCACAGCGGCCGTCAACCCATGGGCCTCTCCATGCACAATGTGTCTATCGGGATGGATCACTTCTGACTCATGATAACAGCCCACCCCCGCTCCTTCAAGATAACTGGTAGGTCTAACCAAGCTTTAGCCCTCTCCTGCATGTCCTCCTCAACCTCCTTCACCCAGTCGCCCCTGTCCAGATCCCCTTGTGGCCCCAGAACCTCTTGTCGAAACTTGGCGCGGGCCTTCCCCGAGAATCTCCAACGTTCATTGACTCGCCCAAGCTGATGAGCAGCACCCCGAGGAAGACCACGAGATACAACGCCATAGCCCCAAAAGGACGCGTCTGACGCCGCGACCTTAGGACTCCACGACGGCCCAAAGTCTCGACGGAACAAGGGGGTGATGTTTCGGAACGCCTCCAGCTCCCATCGAACCGAATCCCAGGGAGCGACGACCCCATGTTCTCGATGACGCGCGATGAACTTGTAAACCGACCGAAAGATGGATAGCGACGCGCGGCAGAGGAGAGCGAGACAAGCACAGTGACCAACCACTTTCTCAACGTCCCGAGCGGACGCACTCCTGTGCGCGAGCAGCCCCTCGATGGCCAGACGTGCGCGCCACGCGCGGTCTGGCCGAGGTCGGATGAAGCCTCGCCTGCCAGTGACCCCCCATCCAAGTACCTCCTCTTCCTTTGAGCATGTTGCAATTTCATGTGCGGGGAGACCTCGGGATCGCAGCGCTTCATCCACCTGGCGCACCAGCCTCGCGACCGTCGAGCGGCAGGTGCCCAGGGCAAGGAAATATAGACTGCGCGGCATGCCGGGGTGGTCCCAGGCAGAGGCCCTCGATCATGAAGGAACAACTCGGGACTGAGACCTGGGATATCCTGGATGATTCGCCGATGCAGGGTCTGACATAACCATGGCGCGTGAGACCGCCATCGGCAGCGCGCGGAGCCGGGGATGCACAAGCGTGCTCGGGCTCACCCGCATGCCGCCTGCCACCCAAGCTGTCAAAGTCGGGGGCGAAACATGCCCCCTGATCCTTACAGGTAGCTCGAAGTGGTAGAACGCATCTTTGATATCGACGCGGCCGACATATAGCGCGCGCCCCGCGGGCACCTCCAGGCTCCCGAGCGCAGCCCCTGTGCTCGGCTCGACGGGGTCGGCAGGAAAGAACCAGCAGTTCGATCGGCGGCAGTCGATCACCAAGCGCTGGCTGCCGCTCTTCTTTCGGACGAAGAACAAGGAACAAAACTCCAGAGGCTGGACGGTATAGTCGATCACGCTGGCCTTCTCAAGCCGCTTGACCAGCCTCCGGTACTCTTGCGGCGAGCTACGCAGCACCTCGTCCATGAACGTCTCCCGAGGGGCACTCTGGAGGTCAAGGGCGGCTGCTGCATATTCGAGAAGATGAGTATCAATAAACCCGTCGACTTCAGGATCTCCTGCAGGGCCCCCGAGGGCGCGAGAGGCGGGGGCGGGCCCATCGCCGCGGCGGTGCCAAATACGCGACGCTGCACCACCGCCTGCGGGGCGCCACCCTGGCAGGAGACGCCAGCAGAAGACCCCTGCTTGCATCCCGATAGCTCGTTGAGGGTGGAGAGGGCCAGGTTCGCGATGCCAGCGATGGCTTGGCGACGCAGTACCCGCCGACGAACGCGACGACAAGGCCCCACGGACCCAGGAAATGGCACCGCGTCGTACCCAGCCAACAAACGCACGGGGAAAAAACATCACGCTGCCGAGGGCCGCCTGATCGAAGCGGCTCCGAAGTGCACTGCCAAAACCCAGGCGGCCTAAGACCAGGAGGCAATTGAATTCGCCCTTCACCAGGTACATCACGCAGCAAGCTCGACGGCGAGGTCGGGGCAGCAAGGCGAGCTTGCAACCGCCTGCCCCCCCCCCCCCCCCCCCCCCCCCCCCCCCCCCCCCCCCCCCCCGGGCGGTTCTCACCCCGGCTTATCCTTCTGATTGCGGCGGAGCTCGCGCTCCTCCTTCGCCTTGAGAATGTTCTTCATGATGGCGGCGTCCTTCTCCATCTGGGCCTTCGCGCGGTCTAAGGGCGACGGCGCCACCATCAGCAAGTCGCCCGCGCGGTTGAGCCCCGAGAGGGCGGTGGCCTCTTCGATCGACGGGCGGCTGCTCGACCCCGCGTCCGTCTCCCTGATCTCGTCGCGACGGGCCCGCCCGATCGTCTGTGCGCGGCGAATCGCCGCCCCCATGCGCGCGAGGTTGCCAATGTCGAGAGCTCGACGATGCGAAGCAGCGTCTCATGCTCCGCGACGCCCCACTGCTCGGGCTTCAGGGAGCAAGTACTGCGAAACATCAGGTGATGGCCCAGAGGCGCGTGGCGACGCCGAAGGAACGAGAGGCACCGCGTCATGCTCCTCGGGCCTCTGACTGGGAAGTCCTCGAACTCCTCCAGCTGGCAGCTGTCGACGACGTCCTTCCACGTCGCGCCCCCTGCCTCCAGCTCCGTGCTGCACAGGGAGCGTTCGGGCGTCCGATGGCGGGGCAGGGGCGCGCGTCTTCCCTCGGAGCGAGACGCGCACCACGAAGTCCAGCGGCTCCTCGTCGCTAGTGTACTCCACGAAGACCCCGTCCTTGCCATCCAGCGAGAAGACGCCCTTCATGCCGACGAACACCGTCACCGGCTTCACCTCACTGCCGAACTCGCACCCCGGCACGTTGTCGGACTCGGCGACGCGCCAGACTCCAGCGTCGGGCGTGCCGGTGCCGCCAACCACCAGAGCGCCCGCCTCGCCTTGGCGTGGCGCCGCGGGACCTCCATCCGGCAGCCGCAGCGCGGGCTGGATGAAGGCGGCACCGAGGAGGTCCTCGATGCCCGCGCGCTGACCGTTGGCAAGACGAACGATCGGGCAGGTGGCGGGGGCCTCGTCCGTCTCGAGCGCGATCTTGGCCGCGTGGGTGGCCGCGCGCGTGATCTCGGTGCGAAGGAACCCGTCAAGCTTGCCAACGGCGAAAATGTAGATGTCGTCCCGAAACCCACGCGGCAGGCGGCCATCCGTTGCGAGGCGAAGCCACTCCACAGGGCTATCCGTCGGACTGCCCCCCACGATCGACTCCACGTACTGGTCCGAATCGGGCGTACTTACGATCCAGTCCACGACGCCCGAAGCCTTCGGAGGAAGCGGCCAGCACAGTAGGCGCTCATGCCAGAGCGCGGCTCCCCCGTAGCGGACCATGATCATCTCCCCCGGCACCAGCTCGGATGATGACGCCACGGCCAGCATGACTCGGGCGGCGCCTGCACAACTGGGATGCGCCCAGCGAGCAGCCTCCTCCGCAGCAGCAGCTCAGCGCCAGCAGCAGGCTGACGAGCCACAGCGGCAAGCACCTCCCGAGCGCCTCGGCGTCGCCCGCCGCCTCGCGGGCAGGCGAGGGGCAAAGAGGTGGTTCCTCCCGCTCGCGCGCCTCGCAGGTCGGGCACGCAGGCGGCGCGCACGTCACCGGCCGGGAGCTGACGGGCTGCGCCGCGGGGCAGGTGAGCGAAACCTGCGGGCAGCTCAGAGTCGGAGCAGGGCACGCAGGAGGCGGTGGGCAGGCGACGGCGGGCGGGCACGCCGGGCAGCGTCCCAGCCAGGCCCCTCCCACGCTTGCCAGTCCCAGGATCGTCGCCTGAGCCACCTGCGCCACCACCATGCACTGCAAACCTGGCGAAAACCCGCGGCCAGTGGGCGCGGGCTAAAAGGCTTGAACGACAGTAGCCCCAGAGGTGACGGCCTACCGACGGGCTGGCATTACAAACTCGTGTGGAACACTACAGAATAATCAAACATAGTCACAAATGGTGAAAAATCGAACCCATACAATTGTTCGACTATGCTAACACTTTCCTGTAGAGGGACCCGCCCGACTTGAATCTACGAGGCCTAGATCTTCGCTCCTCATGGCGTGCACCGCCCAGCCCTCCCGAGGCTCCCTGGGCGGCCCGGCGCCTCCATGGGTAGAGCTCTCCTGGGCTCTCCCCAGGAGGCTCCCGGGACGGCCTGCGACGGCCACCGGGGCCGCCAAGACGACTCGACGCTGCCTCCAGAGGCGCCCAGCAGCCCCTACGGAGCGCCGGAAAGAAGTCCGAAGGGGCCTCCACGAGGCTCCACGGCACCCCCAAGACGTTCTCCAGGAGCGCATCGAGAGGCCAAGAATGCTGATGTTTGTGAAGTTTTCAATGCTTTTCGCTGTCCATGCTCCTCAGTCGAAGACTGGTCCGCCTGCGGCATTCGACGGCCCAGAGGAGCCCAGTGAGAGCCCCAATATGGTCCATAGACGGCCCAGGACGGCCCCATGAGGGCCCCAAGCCGGCCCAAGGGGGCCTCTGGAGGGACCCGAGACGGCCAAACAAGCCCCCTGGACGGCCCAAGAATTCACCAAGATGCTCCCACGACGGCCCGAAGAGACCCCCCAGACTGCCAAGAGAGCACCAAGGAGGCCCAAGGCGGCCCAAAAAGGCCCCAAGGCGGCCCCAAGACGGCCCGAGTAGGTCCCATGAGAGCTCCTCAAGAAGTGGACGCGAGAGGCGTCACGTGTATCGGGCTCTCACATGTGACCGCCAACCGCCAGCGGGCAGGCGACGCCTCCTCCTCCTCCTCCTCCTCCTCCTCCTCCTCCTCCTCCTCCTCCTCCGCCTCCGCCTCCGCCACCTCCTCCTCCTCCTCCTCCGCCTCCTCCTCCTCCTCATCATCATCATCATCATCATCATCATCATCATCAGCATCATCATCAGCATCATCATCATCATCATCATCATCATCAGCATCACATCAGCATCAGCATCAGCATCAGCATCATCATCATCATCATCATCATCATCATCATCATCATCATCATCATCATCATCATCATCATCATCATCATCATCATCATCATCTTTGTTTGACGTTTGGCGGACATGAAGGCCAGGCTTGTTACGCTCCTCGAGGGGCGCTTCGTTGGCACGGCGGCGGACCTGCCGCAGGCACCTGGGCACCCACGGGCTGACACGCCACGAGCCATATATGGGAAGAGCGCTCAGCACGGCATTAGGGCGAGCCGCAAGCAAGACGCAGCCAGGACGAGGATCAGGATCAACCGAGAATCTCTGAGATCCCGCGGTCCTGGAGGACGTCTCGGGCGCCGCGGCCTCCTCGAAGCGTCCCGGGATGCTCTGAGAGCGCCGTGGAATGCTCTGGGACGGAGTTATCCTCGTCCTGGCCCCGTTCGAGCAAGCCTTGGCGTCCGTTCCACGGGCGCCGACATGGCCCCCACCGCTGTCCAAAAGGAGCCTGACGTGGGATTTGGACCAGATTCACCCCTTCACAAGGGAGACGAGAAGAACGAGGAGGGGGAGGAGGAACATGGATGGGCGAGGAGGAGCACCAGAAAGGACCGGATGCGATCCCACTGCGGCCCAAACCGTCGCCGCCCAAATGCTCCCATGGATAGACATCGGAGCTGCAACCCCTCCGAAGCTGAGCTGGGGAAGCCAAAAGGTAGCGATGCCGCTGCTCCCCGGGCCTCTCCAGGGGTGCGTTCTGACCAGGACTTCGAGACGCGAGTCCAGCGGCGGCGACGGGGGACTCCAAGAAGGCCCGATGAGGCGAAAACGAGGGAAGCGCAGCGCTGTTGGTACCTTTCTTCCTCCGAGCAGCTGCCACCTCAGAAGCTGAGCGGTCAGGAGTCCAGGGTCCAGGCAGAACGTGGTCCCGAATGCAAAAGCCTGCGGAAGGGGGGTCCGCGGCCCCTCCCCCTGCTGCGCCCCCCGCCCGCCCGCGAGCGGTGGCGGAAACGCGCGGGAGTTCAACTAGACATGTCTTTGAGAGAACCAGTTATCAAAGAATGACGCTCGCCAACTCCCTGGCCACCCTTGGCCAACCAGGCTCCCAACAGCGGCGCATCACTGATGCTCTGCTTCCCTCCCAAGCACCTCTGATCAAACCAGGAGGTACCAATACCACTAATCCCTGGACCTCTCCCGGGGTGCGTTCTGATCAGGATTTCGAGGCGAATCCAGCGGTGGCGACGAGGGCCGCCCAGGAGGCCCGAAAAAGCGAAAACGAGACAAGGGTAGAGGTAGCAAAGGTACGGGTGCCTTTTCATCCTCCGAACCTTGCGCCCCCCCGTCCGCGCGTGCGCGGGGGGGGTCGGCCCGCCCCTGGCACCGCTGGAGGCGTTGGCGGCGTGCACGGGGGCCGCCGGACCAGCGGGAGGAGCGTGGCCTCCGCGCGGGTGGTGCGCCCGGAAGGGAGAGCGGAGCGGCGGAGGCCGCAGGCAGGGGAAGGCACCAGGGAGGGGGGAGGGGAGGCAGGGGGGGCTGCCGTTCGGGCTTGCGTTTCCCTTAATTCAACAGTTCGAAAAGGGCGAATAATAGGAAAAACAATCCCGGACGACTGTCCCAAGGACACACTGCGCGGGAAACGCGGTCCTCATAATTCGAATTCCGAATTGTGGGAAACGCAATTTCCTTTGAAAAACCGCACTCGACTCAATGGGCTGGAACTGAATTTCGCATAATTCGAATCCCGAATCATGGTAAACGCAATCTCCAAGAATTCGAATTCCGAGTTATGGGAAGCGCAATTTCCTTGTGAAAAGCAGCACCCAATGGGCTGGAATTGCGTTTCCCATAATTCCGAATTATGGGGAATGTAATTGACCTTGTAGACCCCACTCAATGGGCTAGAAAGGCGCTTCCCATAAAACGGATTCCGAATTTCGGGAAACGTGGTTTCCCATGGTTCGAATGCCGAATTATGCGAAACGCAAGTTCCCTGGAAGAAAAACACATTCAATGGGAGAAAAAAATGCAATAAATGGGCTGGAGCTGCGTTTCCCTTAATTCGAATTCCGAGTTTCGGGAAACGGTGTTTCCCAAAACTCAACTTCCGAACTATGGGAAACGCAATTTTCTGTTGAAAAACTGCGGGAAACGTTGTTTCATACATCGAATTTCGAATTATGGGAGACGCGATTCCCTTGAGAAGCCGCAATCCATGGGCTGGAATCGCAAGTTCCATCATTCGAATTCCGAATTTCGGGGAAAACTGTTTCCCAGAATTCGAATTCCGAATTATGGGGAACGCAATTTACTGTGACAAGCCGCACTCAATGAGCTGGAATTGCGTTTTCCATAATTCCGAATCCTGTGAAACGCAAGTTCCCTTGACAAACCGCACCCGATGGGCTGGAATTGCATGTTCCATCATTCGAATTCCGAATTTCGGGCAACGCTGTTTCCCAGAATTCGAATTCCGAATCAGGGGAAAAAGCAATTTCCTTTTGAAAATCCGCACTCGATGGGCTGGAATTGCGTTTCCCATCATTCCGGATCATGGGACAGGCAATGTATTTTTTTATTATCACTATATGTATCTATATAAAATCCCCATGTGCTGGAATTGCGTTTCCCAGAATTCGACTTCCGAATCAGGAGAAACGCAATTTCCATTGAAAAACCTCACTCGGTGGGGTGGAATTGCATGTCCCACGATTCCGACTTGTGGGAAACGCATTCCCCTGCGAAAAACAACACACAAAGGGCTGGAATGGCGTTTCTCATAAATCGAATTCCGAGTATCGGTGAACGCGGTGCTCCAGAATTCGAATTCCGAATTATGGGAAACGATTTTCCCGATGAAGAGCCTCACTCAATGTGCTGGAATTGCGTTCCCCATAATTCAGAATTCTTGGCGCTTCGCGTATCCCCACCAGCTCATCCAGAATTGATTGCCAGTTTTCTTGCGGCCTCTTTGGAGGCTATCTTGAGCCATGCTCGGCTAGAGGTTGTCGGAGGCTGTATTGAACCATGCTCGGTTATCCTGGGCCATCTTGAGGCTGTCTTGAGGTTTCTTGGTGGTCTGTCGGAGGCTATCTTGGGCGATGTAAGGCAATCTTGGGCCACTTTGAAAACCATATTTGCCGATCTAGGGCTCTCTTGGAGCCACGTTGGGCCAAACAAGGCGGGGTGGAGGGTTTTTGGGGAGAGGCTGGGAGGCCTCTCGGGGTCATCTTGGGCAGCATGGCTCAAAAAGAGGAGGTCCCTCAATCAGCATCGCCCCTATCGGCGCCATCGTGGGGCCCTCTTGGGGTCCTCTTGAGGCCTTCTTGGGGCCCTGTTGAGGATATGTTGGGGGAGTCTTGGAGCCCTCTTTGGGCTCTTTGGGGGGTCTGGGAGGCCTTTTGGGGCCGTCTTGGGCACCATGGCTCAAAAAGAAGGGGGGGGAATTCGCCCCCCCCCCCCCTCCTCGGAGGCTTTCAAACGGCATTTTGGGGCCCTCTTGGACCGCTTTTGAGCGCCTCTTGGGCGATCTTTGGGCCGTCTTCGGCCTTCTTGGGTCCCTCTTGGGCCTCTTTTGGGCCATCTTGGGGCCATCTTGAAACTTCCAAAGCCCATCGGAAGCGAAAAGGCGATATCGCCAAACACATTAATTAACCCTAGGCTTGTGAACGGTTTTGGCATCCTGGAAGGCGCCGTGGAGGGCTCGAAGGGCACTTGGATCCGTCTTGAGGCTGTCTTGGGGCCTCTTGGGGGTATGTCGGATGCTATCTTGGCCCATTTTGAAGTAGCATGGGCCATCTTGGAGGCCATCTTGCAACTTCGAAGCCCTCTTGGAGCAATATTGGGCCATCTTGGACGCTCTAAACGCCTCGCGGCGCGCCCCGTCCAGGTCCAGGGGAGGGGGCAGGGGGGAGGGCGTTCAGTGGAAGAACGAGAAGAAAAAACGCGTTATACCACCTAAGCCCTGAGGGCTGGTGGGATTACTCGGTGGGCTGGAATTGCGCTTCCCATAATTCGAATTCCGAGTTTCGGGAAACGCTGTTTCCCAGAATTCAAATTCCGAATCATGGGAAACGCAAGTTCCCCTGAAAAACCGCACCCACTGGGCTGGACTTGCGCTTCCCATAATGCCGAAGTCTAGGAAACGCGACTTATTTTTGAAAACCGCACCCAATGGACTGGAAATGCGTTTCCCATAATTCGGATTCCGAATTTCGGGAAACGCGGTTTGCCAGAATTGGAGAGACTGCGTTTCACGGGCGCTTGCCTTGGGAGCATCCGGCGGCGCGTTTCGAACCCGGGGGTGGGCCCCCCCACCAACACTCGGCGCCGTCGATCAAAACCAAGGGGGCCCCCCTCCCCCCCACCCCACCCCCCCGGCGCTGGCGCTGGCGGCCGCCAGCAGCGACGACGGCGGGGACGCAGCAACGATGACCAGAGGTAGCCCAGGGAGAGAGGTCAATCAACCCCCCTTCCGTTGGCGCCGGCGCCGGCACTGGCGGCGGCCAGCAGCGATGGCGCTGGCGCCGGCGACGGCGGGGACGCAGCCACGATTACCACCACTACCACCACCACCACAACCACCAACGCCACCGCCTCAGCCCACCACCACCACCACCAACCCACCACACAACCACCACCACCACCACAGCCACCACCACCACCACCACAACCACCAACACCACAACTCACCATCACCACCACCACCACTACAAAAACCCACCACCACCACCACCACCACCACCACATTCTAGCACGCCACCACCACCACCGCCACAAACACCATCACTACCAGCAGCACAACCCACCACCACCACCACAAACCACCACACCACCACCACCACCACCAACAACAACAATATTCCTCCACAAACCACCGCCACCACCACAACCCACCAACAGCACCACCACCACCACCACCACCACCACAAACCACCACACCACACCACCACCAAACCACCATCACCACCACCACCACAACCCACCACCACCACCACCACCACAAACCACCACCACACCACCACCACACCACCACCACCACCACCACCCACCACCACAACCACCACCACCACCACCACAACAAACCACCACACCACCACCACCACAACCACCACCACCGCCACCACCACCACCGCCACCACCACCACCACAACACACCGCCACCACCACCGCCACCGTCGTCCTCGTCAACGCTCCCCGCCGCCGCTGCCCGCCGCCGCAGGCGCCGGCGCCGGCCCAGAAAAGGAAACCGTCGTCCCCGCAACCGCCGCCGCCAGCCGAGGAGAGGGAGAGAGGAGAAGTAGGGGAGGGGGGGGAATTCGAACCCCCCCCCCCTGCGTCACGGGGGGGTTCGAGACCCACAGAACGCTCTCTCTCCAGAATTGGAATTCCGAATTTTGGGAAACGCAAGTTCCCTTGAAACACCGCACTCAGTGGGCTGGAATTGTGTTTCCCATAATTCCGAATTATGGGAAACGCAATTTCCCTTGAAACACCGCACTCAATGGGCTGGAATTGCGTTTCCCAATGCTCAAACTCCGAGTTTCGGGGAACGCCGTTTCCCAGAATTCGAATTCGGAATTGTGGGAAGCGCAATTTCCTTTGAAAAACCACACCCAATGGGCTGGAATTGCGTTTCCCACAATTCCGAAATATGGGACACGCAATTTCCCTTGAAACACCGCACTCACTGGGCTGGAATTGCATGATCCATAATTCGAATTCCGAATTTCGGGGAACGCTGTTTCCCAGCATTCGAATTCCGAATTATGGGAAACGCAAGATCCCTGGAAAAACCGCACTCGATGGGCTGGAATTGCGTTTCACATAATCCCGAATTATGGGAAACGCAATTTCCTTTGAAACACCGCACGCAATGGGCTGGACTTGCGTTTCCCATAATTCGAATTCGACGCGTTCCCCAGAATTCGAAGTCCGAAATATGGGAAATGCAGTTTCCCTTGAAAAACCGCACTCGATGGGCTGGAATTGCGTTTCCCAAGTCTTCCCAGAATTTGAATTACAACTTATGGGCAACGCTAGATCCCTGGAAAAAAAAACGCACTCAATGGGCTGGAATTGCGTTTCCCATAGTCCCATAATTCCGAAGTATGGAAACCGCAATTTCCTTTAAACCACCGCACTCAATGGGCTGGAATTGCGCTTCCCAGAACTTAACTTCCGAGTATCGGGAAATGCGGGTTCCCAAGATTCGAAGTATGGGAAACAGCGCTCGCTTCCCATGATGCGGAATTCGAGTTATGGGAAACCGCGATTCCCGAAATTCGGGATTCGAATTCTGGGAAACGCAATTCTGGCCAATTGAGTGCGGTGTTTTGTTTTAATGCGTTTCCCACAATCCCGAGTTATGGGAAACGCACTTCCAGCCCATCGAGTGCGGCTCTTCAAAAGAAATTGCGTCCCCCATGATTCCGAATTCGGATTCTGGGAAACAGCGTCCCCTGGAATTCGGAATTCGCATTATGGGAAACGCAATGCCAGCCCACCGAGTGCGGTTTTTCAACGGAAAGTACATTTCACAGAATTCGGAACTTAAAGTATGGGAAACAGCGTTTCCCGAAATTCGGAATTCGAATGATGGGAAACACAATTCCAGCCCATTGAGTGCGGTTTTTGAAAGTGCGTTTCCCATAATTCGATATTATGGGAAACGCAATTCCAGCCCATCGAGTGCGGTTTTTCCAGGGATCTTGCGTTTCCCATAATTCGGAATTCGAATGCTGGGAAACAGCGTTCCCCGAAATTCGGAATTCGAATTATGGGAAACGCAATTCCAGCCCATTGAGTGCGGTGTTTCAAGGGAAATTACGTGTCCCATATTTCGGAATTGTGGGAAAAGTAATTCCAGCCCATTGAGTGCGGCTGTTCAATGGAAATTGCGCTTCCCATACTTCGGAATTCGAATTCTGGGAAACCGGAAATTCGATATGGGAAACGCAATTCCAGCTCATCGAATGCGGTTTGTTCAAAGGAACTTGCGTTTCCCAAAATTCGGAATTCGAATAATGGGAAAACGCGTTTCCCGTGCAATGCGTGTGCTTGGGGCAGTCGTCCGGGATTGCGTTTCCCATAATTACTGCGAGTTATGGGAAACGCAATTTCCGCTGAAAAACCGTACTCAATGGGCTGACTGCGTTTCCCCAATTTTTAAATGATGGGTAACGCAATCCTGGACGACTGCCGCAGGGGGATGGGGGAAGGAAGAGAGCGCGAGCAGGGAGGGAGGGAGGGAGGGAGGTGGGACGTGAAGGAGGACGGAGGGAAGGAGGGCGGCGGCGGAGCCCTGCAGGAGCACGAGCCAGGACTGCGGCGCCACAGCACGTGCTTGCTTGCCCGAGCTCCGCGCGTGCGCTACACCAGCGGCAAGGGGATGCACGCGCCTCCCGCGGCCCCGACCGCCGCCACGCTGGCCCTCTCCGCTGCGGCCTCCTCGGCGGAGGTCTCGGTGCTGGGCGCCCGCCCTGAGTCTCCGACGACGTCCTCGCATCGGTGGCGGGTCCCCTCCTCCTCCTCCTCCTCCTCCTCCTCCTCCTCCTCCTCCTCCTCCTCCTCCTCCTCCTCCTCACTCCCCTCCTCCCCTCCTCCCCTCCTCCTCCTCCTCCTCTTCCTCCTCCTCCTCCTCCTTCTCCACCTCCTCCACTTCCTCCACGTCCTCCTCCTCATCCTCCTCATCCTCCTGTGCCTCGTCCTAGTCCTCCTCCTCGTTCTCCCCCTCCTCCTCCTCCTCCTC